TTATTATCTGGTGTCCGGTTAGTAGGTGCCAATCTAATCCCAAGGTATATTATGCGTTTGCCGATAATACGCGTCTTATTCAATAAAAGTAGCATTATTACAACAAATTACACACTACGTCTATTAGTCTGGTTTTGGATGAGTTAACTAACTGGGAAAAGCAATTGCATTAATGATGATAAATAAATGTAGAGCAGCACGAAGCAATTAATTTTCAATATATTATATTCTTAGCATTAAGAAAATGTAATTATTAGAAGCCGTAATATTGAATAGTATATTATGCAACAAGTGTGGTAAATTACATTTGATCCACGAATGATTTAAAAAGTTTACCAAACTATACTTTTTCTACGACTGTTAGTTTTTACATATATTTGTGCAGAACACCACGAATACATTCACAGACATGACCGTCAGAATTGACAAACGTCAAAATTCTAGCTATGCGGTAAATTCTCACAAAACATCGGATTTTCTCCCAAACCCGGAAATGTCCAAATTAGCTCGGATCCGTGAGAAACGAAACTGACATAGTAAAATTACACTTTCCGTGCGTAAGATTGGTGTATAATTAGGTATTTTACAGAAGAGAGTAGAAAAAATACTTTTTAATTAATGGGTATTTTTTTATAGAACTTTATAGAACTTTAAGTTGGCATTACTGTTCAAGATGGCGACCGATTTATCAGCTGTTAAGTGAATTATTCTCAGTTTGGTTTGGCAATTCATCATGAATAGAGTCACGCCTGAAAAACGCTTGCAAATAGTGCAATTTTATTTCGAAAATAATGGTTCTGTGCGGAATACGTATCGCGCACTACGTCCATTTAATCGTCGACAAAATCGTCCATCAGAGCAGTTAATTCGATTAACCAGGGAACGTTTTCGCACCACGTTTACTCTTATTGATAACTCGCATCCCCAGAGACGCCGTACGGTGCATACAGAAGAAGCTGTTGCTGTTGTAGAGGAGCATTGAGGAAGACCCGAATGGGTCCCACCGCCATCGAGCACAGGAATTGGATTTGTGTCCATCCACTTTATGGAAGATTTTGCGGAAGGATCTTGGTTTACGTGCTTACAAAATCCAACTCGTGCAAGAATTGAAGCCAAACGATCATCAAGTAAGGCGTAGATTCGTCGAATGGGCCCAAAACGAGATTGCCGTTGTTCCCGATTTTCATAAGCGAATTTTGTTTAGCGATGTAGCGCACTTCTGGTTGAATGGCTACGTCAACAAACAAAACTGTCGCATTTGGAGCGAAGCTAAACCTCAAGTGTATGTCGAAACACCGTTACATCCAGAAAAACGCACTGTTTGGTGCGCTTTATGGGCTGGTGGAATCATTGGTCCGTACTTCTTCAAAAACGATCATGACCAAAACGTTACAGTCAATGGTGATCGGTATAGAGCTATGATTACTAACTATTTCATTCCTGAATTGAATAGCCATGATGTCCAGGAGACGTGGTTTCCACAAGACGGCGCAACATGTCACACAGCTCGCGCCACAATCGATTTATTGAAAGACACGTTTGGTGACCGCCTAATTTCACGTTTTGGACCTGTGCATTGGCCTCCAAGATCTTGTAATTTAACACCGCTAGACTACTTTCTGTGGGGCTATGTAAAGTCATTGGTCTGTGCAGATAAGCCACAAACGCTTGACCATTTGGAAGACAACATTCGCCGTGTTATTGCCGATATACGGCCACAAATGTTGGAAAAAGTCATCGAAAATTGGACGTCCAGATTTTACTACATCCGCGCCAGCCGTGGCGGTCGTATGCCAGAAATCATATTTAAAATGTAATGGCACAAGATTATCTTTCGGATAAATAACATTCATGTCAATCGAATAATCCATCGTTGTTTTATTGCAACTTAAAGTTCTATACATCGAAAGAAAACACTCCTTATAACAGGCTGGCTTACTTTTACTCACTAATTATTTAAAAATCTAAATACACCTAATGCAGTAGTCATTAGACTTTTGCCTTCTCGTAGAGTTTCGGCGGAGGGAAACTACATTTCCAGCATGTTCCATATAAACGAATTTTTTGTCACACCAACACAACCCTTGGATCAATAGAACAATGTACGTTAATGTGTAAAACAGTCCATGGTAAACAGAAAATAAATACAATTCTTACGAATACAAACCAGACGAATGATTACTGTATTCAAAATAGAAACAATTTGGATTTAGATTACAGTAGAACACAGTATACAATCCCGTGCAATATGTACCTAAATCTTTTGACAGTTCCAATTATTATATAGTCAGTCTGTTAAAAACTACAAATATATTCTTGCAATTTTGAAAATTAACTTAAAAATTTAATTTCGCGTAGCTTCTTGAATTAGTAGAAAGTAATTATTTTGAAATATTTACAACAATAATTTCTAATTACGCGTATTTAATAACTATATTTAAAAGTTTAGGGTCGATTCTTATTCACGTAGACAACCATTTCTTTGAAAAAATGTGTTGTTCGGTAGGAATTTGGGATCTCGGAAGTATCCTATTATTTTACCTGTTTTCAAATCGACAATTAACTTGTTAATTGAGAATTTATCCATCAAAAGACAAAGCTTCCCTCAAATTTGTTTTAATTCTTATTCCTTTTATAATTTGTTCAAAAAAGATCGAGGATCTTTCCCGTTAAGTAGAATTCAACCTACAATTTACAAATAGAAACAATAATAAGATGTTGCTTAAATAAAAAAAAATCTTTACTGAACGAGATCTTCTATTTGCGACTTCATCAGCAATATCAAAAAGATGCTGTGCGAATCTGTAGTTTTGTCAACCTTTAATTTCTGTGACAATGTTTATGGTCCTTGCTTGGATGCTTTTGTCGCACAATGCATTCAAAAACTTAAAAATTACTGCTTGCGCCTTATATTTGGGATCCGTCGTAGGGAACATATAACACATAAACTCCAAGATAGAATGTGGCTAAATGTGCGTAATCGGCGCATCCTCAATGCAACATTTTTACTTTATAAAATACTAAAATACACTAAAATGTAAATGCCGTCCATATCTGCTGAGACGCGTAGCCTATAGAACAGATGTTCATAATGTTGATATACGTAGGAAAAATATTTTAAAAATTCCATCACACCATATAGCACTGTTTAACCGTTCCTTCTTTTTTAATACAAATTTATTAAATTTATTAAATACAAATACAAATTTATTAAATTTATTATTTATTATTTGTCTTTGTCTTTTTTTCCCCTCCGAACTTTCCCCTCTCCATTACAAATTTATTTACATTTATATATGTCGTTAAACTAGGAGTACAGCGTGTTATAATATTTATTATGTATTAACCATTTCGCCACCGTGAGCCAAATAAAACAATCCACTATACGATCTGGAAACCCATAGGAGATACGAAAAAATGTTCTTACCAAAGCCTCTTGAACTCTCCTGAAGATTTAAACTATAATAATTTTGGTGATACAGGGTGTCCCAAAAGTATCCCTTTCGACATCAACTTTGTTATTTTAAATGGAATACCCCGTATATTTCGACATTTTTTGAATTCCTGGTTAAAATAAGGTCACTGTCATAAGAAATTTCTATTCTAATTTTGCATCGTTTAGGCAGAAATTGGCGTTATATGTTTTTTTTTTCATGTTTTGATTGCCCCTTATAAAATTGTGTTGTGACGCTACTGATCCAGATATTGCAACCAAAATTTAACCACAGACTAAGGAGATGATGCACTTCTCAATCAGATTGACAGATGTGCCTCAGCTTATACAGAGGGTCCCAAATAGGTGGTACCGTTATGGCGAATTTAATTTACAAAATCTCAACATTTTCAATATATTTTTATTCAAATATCAATTCTAAGAGAAAAAATAAGGTAAGTTTGTAATTTATCTTATATTCAAATTTTTCTTACCTCTTGAGATATTCGAGGTTTAAGATAACACCCGTATAAGTTCTTGTTGAATTTAAAGCTGCCAATATTAGGTCACTTGTTGGCAATATTAGGTATTTTTTAAATAACAAATACATGATTCTACTTCTTTTAAACAAAGATGACGTCGTAGGGGTCACTTTTGGGACACCCTGCATCAACAAAATTATAATATTTTAAATCTTCGGGAGAGTTCAAGAAACTTTTTTTCGTATCTCCTATGGGTTTCCAGATCGTATAGTGGATCGTTTTATGTGGCACACCGTGTGCGTACAGTACTAATTTTTGTAATTACTTAAATAATTAATTTCTTTAAATACTTTTTTGGCTTCAACAGCACCTAATTCAGGCAACCACATGTATGGGAGGCTGAATGTATGCATGTATGCTTCATTGTTTCATTCATTATTTACTCATCATTGTAACAAACAAGTGGTTAATAGACGCTCAATTATTATTATTATTAAATTATGAAGTTTTATGTTGAAAGAATAATCATTGCGTTGCACTTCATCTTCGTGTACTTTTTAAATCCTTGTTATTGTTTGTTCTTATAATGATATGAACATCAGCCTTGTTTCTTTTTTTTTTGAGTAATATATCATACCCGATTAATGGAAATTGATTGCTTGTTATTGCTCACTATCATTACTCTATACCTTACTCTATACCTTATTTTATAAGTGTCGCTCAACAAATATTGCTTTTCTCTACCTCTTTTTTATTTAAGTAATGTAAAATCTGAGCTCGTTGCTGAGTGATTGTTCTGAATATATTACTTTATGTAATGTATTCTTAATAATAATAGTATATTTGTTTTGAGTTCGGGGCCAGTGATATGCACTGTTTAGAGATTGAATTATAAGAAATAAGGCATAATAATAGTAAAGTAAAAATTTAGTGTATCATTTTTCAGTTTGTACATCCACGTATTGGCCGATTCCGAAATTTTCGTCCGGAAATAATCACCACATTTTCCATCCATTATCCGAATTGATTAAGCGTCCGGTCCCCACGCCGCTGTTGTGTAGTTCTTACGAGTGTCCTTGTTGCAGCTGGAATACCGGGGATCTCCAGAGAACCCGCGTCAAGGACACCCCATCATGATTTATCGGCCACCGGAATCCCGTCGTCGGACAATAGCTTTTCGATCCAGCAATTACTGCTACAACGGGAGGAGGAGAATCGGCAGGAAGTTGATAGATTGACGGCGGAAATAAAGGCCCTGAAATTGCAGTTGCTGCAGTACACCAGCGGTAAGGTCAAACCGTGTGTTTTTACCATTTCCCCCTTCTATCGGCATTTTCATTTTTAATTTGCCGACGGTCAATGGTCCGGGCATAATAAGCCTTCTAAAAGTTCACTCAGTACTTTTTCCCGCGTATATTTAAATGTGCTGGGTGGCCAGGTAAGAACGTGTTTTTACCATTTCCCCCTTCTATAGGCATTTTCATTTTTAATTTGCCGACGGTCAATGGTCCGGGCATAATAAGCCTTCTAAAAGTTCACTCAGTACTTTTTCCCGCGTATATTTAAATGTGCTGGGTGGTCAGGTAAGAACGTAAAGTGCTGTAACTCGAAAACAATACGTCGTAGAGATTTTGCCGTGAAAAATTTTATTAACCATTTTAGTCGTAAGGCGAAAAAATTGTCGCATCTCGCAAAGGCAGATTTGCTTGTCCAGCTATACCGGCTGACACTTTATAACTTTAAAACAGCTTGAGATAGCGATTTGAAACTTGGAAGGGTAAATATAGGTACAACCTATATTTTTGCATTTTTGGATTCAGGAGATCATTCTACGTAGTATAGGATAGTTTTTCTCATTTTTTTCCCTTTTTTTTTATTTTTATTTAATTTTTGGTTTTACTGAATCACCTGATAATGGAAAAAATTGTAAATGAATCTTTTCCTTACTTGTCTCATGGCAAATAGCATTTAATGTAATCAACTATTAATTTTTTAGGATAATCTAGTGTTTTCAAATAGCACTCTCGTGAGAACAAAAACTTTTTAAAACCGATACTTTTTTTCTAATATTTTGACAACAAAATTTCCAAAATCCGTTAAAAAATAAGCTCACAGGAAGAAAAAAAAAACAGATAAGTAAATGCATTTTTATAAAAACAAAATATTACTTTAGTGGCTTTGCTTCATTCCTCAAGTTGGAAAGATTAAAAACGCAGAAGAAACTCTTGGCAAGCTGATGCAGTGGAAAGGAAAAAACAGATTAATATTAAAAAAAAAATCAAGGGAGAGTTGCTTCTGAGATTCAACGTTTAGAATTTTTTGTTGAAAGTGTTGATGAAGGTTATATGCTTTTGAAATACGCGAATAAGGGAACAGAAATATTTTTTTTACTTTTCAAATCTGTCGCTTTTTCGGATAATTCAACACAATATTTTTAAAATCTGTTGGAAAATAAAACCTCAACAACGTCTGTAGAATCAATTTGGAAGTGGTATATGAACGTGTGTTGCCGTAAGACAAGTTTTACATTGACACAAAACATCACATTAAATTAATTATAGAAATTTACTTAATTTGGATTCGGATTTGCGAATATTACAATGGACCAGTTCGTTATTTACCTTAATTTATAAAACGTATTCCTGTGAAAATACAAGGAAAGCAAGCACGGAAATATTGTAAGGGAACCCCCAAAAACCATATCCAATGTTGGTATACAGAAAATCACCCCAAATAATAATTTAACTACTGTTTCGCAATCTCGAAAAAATTTGACGTTTTCTCAGATGTTCAAGCAGACTATTGAAGAGCCACTTCGGAGAGGTTCAAAACGATGCATTGCTCAACCACCTTGAAACCGTCGGCAAGACATAAAACCACCCCCAATAAGGAAATGCCGTAAAATTCGTTTTATTTATTTCGCAATCTCAAAAATATTTGACGTTGTCCCAGAGATTCAACCAGACCATTAAAGAGTCACTCAGGAGAAATTGAAAATGATGTATTACTCAACCACCTTGAAAAGATCGAGAAGATATAAAACTACCCCAATAATGAAATAACCAAATATTCGTTTTATTTATTTCGGAATCTTAAAAAAACCTGACGCTATCCCAGATCATGAATTACACCATTAAAGAACCACCTAGGAGAGCTTTAATCAACCACCTTGAAACGGTCGGGGAGATATGAAACTACCCCTATAAAGAAATACCCAAATATTCGTTTTGTTTATTTCGGAATTCCAAAAAACCTGACGTTGTCCCAGGTATTGAATTAGAACATTGAAGATCCACTTAGAAGAGCTTCAAAATGATGTATTGCTTAACCATCTCGAAACGGTAAGGAAAATATAAAACTACCCCCAAAAATTTGATATGTTTATTTTACAATCTCAAAAAATCTGACGTTGTCCCATATATTGAACTTGACCATAGCAAAGTCACTTCGGAGAGCTTCAAAATGATGTATTGCTCAATCACCTTGAAATGGTCGGGCAGATACAAAACTACCCCCAATAATGAGATACTCTGAAATTCGCCATTATCAAAGTAGATGTTTGGTTTTTAATTCGAGATTGACCCACAAAGCGCATCCATCGATCATGATTCCTCGCGATATTCAGGAGATTTTCTTAATTTTATTTATACTTTTCATTTTTAATTTATTAGGCAGTTAATTAAAAGTTTTCTGGGACGACATTTGCGCACAAATGCGAGCTTTTGGAATTATTAACAATTGAATGAATATTTCTAGTATAATATTCGACAGGGGACTAAATTCTGTACTTGTTGACGTTTAGAGAAAAACGATGTCCCATTTAAAGAAAAAACAATTTGAATCGTTTCCGGAATAGGAGCAACAGTTATCATGCTTTTTGTACATTTTTTTTTTAATAATTCGGAAACAAAAAAGACCGGCATATACACCTTTTGATAATTAACTTAAAATTAACCGTAGCAATAAAACATGATAAAATATACAGGGTGTGCAACTTAACATTTTATATATGACAACCATTTGAATGTTAGGGCATCTCATAATTGAGGGTAGTTTCATCTTCCCCACAGTTTCGAGGTTGTTGAGTAATACATCATTTTGAAGTTCTCCTAGGTGGATCTTTAAGGGTCTAATTAAATCTCTGGAACAACGTCAGATTTTTTTGAGATTGCGAAATAAATAAAACGAATATTTGGTTATTTCATTATTGGGGGTAGTTTTATGTCTTCCCTTCCGTTTCAAAGGGTTTGAGCAATACATCATTTTAAAGCTCTCTTAAGTGGCTCTTCAATGATCTAATTCGATATCTGGGGCAATGTCAAATTGTTTTTAAAATTCCGAATCAAATAAAACGAATTTTACGGCATTTCATTGTTGGGGCTTGCCGACAGTTTCAAGGTGTTCAGCAATACACTATTTTGAAGCTCTCCGAAGTGGTTCTTCAATGATCTGGTCGAACGTCTGGAACGTCAGATTTAGTTATAAAATATAGGAACATTGGATATGGTTTTTGGGGGTTCGCTTACAATATTTCCATGCATACTTTCTCGGTATTTCCACAGGAATACGTTTTTTAAATTAACTGTAATATTCGCAAATCTGAATTCAAATTAGGTAAATATCTATCGCACTTATTTAATTCAAATAAATGCAAAACTACAGTGCCAAAATAAATGAATGTGATGCTTTGTGTCAATATATAAAACGTGTCTTAGAACAACACACGTTCATATACCACTTTCAAATCGATCCCACAGACATTGTTGAGGTTTTATCTTCCAACAGATTTTAAAAATATTGTGTTGAATTATTCGAAAAAGTGACAGATTTGAAAAGTAAAAAAAATATTTCTATTCTCTTATACTCTTATACTTACGTTAGTTTGTGACTGTATCCCCGTATTTCAAAGGCATATCAACTTTTTACCATAATAAAACGCTTTCAACAAAAAATTCTAATCGTTGAATCTCAGAAGAATTCCTTGAATTTTATATTTTTTTAAATACTAATCTGTTTTTTTCTTTCCACTTCATCAACTTGTCAAGAGTTTCTTCTGCATTTTTAATGTTACCAACTTGAAGAATGAAGCAAAGCCACCTAAGTAATATTTTGTTTTTATAAAAATGCATTTACTTATCAGGTTTTTCATTCCTGTGAGCTTATTTTTTAACGGATTTTGAAAATTTTGTTTTCGAAATGTTGCAAAAAAGTATTGGTTTTAAAAAGTTTGTGTTCCCACTAGAGTGCTATTTGAAAACACTATGTTATACTAAAAAATGAATAGTTCATTATATTAAATGCTATTTGCCATGAGACAAGTAATTAAAAGATTCATTTACGATTTTTCCCATGATCAGGTGATTCGGTAAATAGCACTTATGATGCGCACAATTTTCAAAAATTAAATAAAAATTTTAAGAAACGAAAAAATTAGAAAAACTGTCCTATACTACGTAGAATGATCTCCTGAATCCAAAAATGCAAAAAATATTGTGCCATTCCAAATTCAAAAGTTACTATCGTTTCTGCTCAAATCTGAATGGCAACTATTGACTATATATTAACCCTTCCAAATTTCAAATCGCTGTATCAAACCGTTTAAAAGTTATACATTGTTCCCACTTTCTTGTGTCACCCGGTATATACTCTTTGAGTCAAGGCCGCATTTTGAAGACATTGAAAATATAGCCCAATCATATCGACAGCTTCTTCATTTGTTAAAGGCATTTTATTTGTTTTAAGGCCTTACTTTGTGCAAAACACAAATTGCACAGCTCCTGTAATAGATATACTTTTAATACAAACTTTGTTGAGAGGTTGATTTTATGCATTTGGTTTTCCTACTTGACCTACTGGTCATGTTACTGTACGTGTGTTTCTTTTAATTTTTTTGAAATACGAATATTTGTACTATTTCAAAATTATTAAATTATGAAATTTTAAGAAATAACAAATAAATAAGAAAAAATTACCATATCGACTTTTTAAAATTTTATGATGTCAATTTTCTTTCTTGAATATTTAAGGCTAAAAATTAGTTATAAAGATATGGTTTTCAGCAGCTGATTTAGGTATCTGGCCACTACATTTTTACGGAAGAAAAGTCGTAATTTCTTTTTATTTGATTTTTTAGAGATTTTTGCCATTTTTTGTTATTATATCAAAGAACTAAGAACTAGACATATTGCAAATAAGACGGGGTTGATAGAGCAATCAAAACTTTTTTAAACGGGACTTAGCTTGTTAAAATCCGTTCAGTCTTTTATTAGTTGTTTATTTAATTTTA